TTATTATTATTATTATTATTATTATTATTATTATTATTATTATTATTATTATTATTATTATTATTATTATTATTATTATTATTATTATTATTATTATTATTATTATTTCCTTTCCAACCCAGCTGGCTAGGGCAAGGGCATCCCCTTCTAGACTACCCTGGGGACTCATGAGCTGGATGAACCGGAGCCTTTCCGAGGAGAAAGGAAGATTGCTCAAGCAGCGAAACAGAAACATCCTGAGCTGAAGCCGAGACTCAGACGTCAGGGCAGGACCATAGGACAATGTTTTTATAAGCTCTATAGGATAGATCTTATCTTAAGGGAAGTGAAGTTCAGAGGGACCACGGTGCTCCCTTGGGTGCCAGATCAACACGAACAGACGGGCAGCCTGAGCTTGAATGCAAATTTTCTAGTGGCTGCTCTGTTTCTGCGGCCCCAAAGCCCACCCGTGCTGGAGGGCTGCTCTACCGGGGTGACATGTTGTAAAGACGAGTCACAAGCACTTTTCCTCCCCGCTCCCCCCATCCGACCCTGCCCCCGACCCGGCTCTCTCGGGGGGGGGGAAGGGGGTCCCCCGCACGGCGGGCCTGTGCCCGGGGAGGGGGGGCAGAGCTGCCCCCCCTCCCCGCCGTGCGGGGGGCGGGGGCCCCTGCTTCCCTCCCCGCCGTGCGGGGGGATCCAGAGCTCCGCCTGTCCACACCTCGGGGGGTGCGGGGCCGAGCCGGGCAGCCCCAACCCTCCGGCCCCTGCCTGCACCCCCGCCCCGCGCCGGGCGGCTGCCGGGGCCTACGGGACGGAATCCGCGCCGCACACCCCTTTGCGGTAACCCCCGGGGATGGGGACAGCCCCGGCTGCTGAACGGCCTTACAGATCCACCACCCTTCGCCTTGTTTTGGGTAGGAATCTACCTATGCAGCAAGGCGCTTATCCGTATTTCCACCTTTGCCGGAGAAAGGGCTTGCTGTGAAGGTGAGGTGCAACGCCCCAGAAAATCAGGGGCTGCTCTCGTTGTGCTCTTTGACTTGGGGCCAAATCCTGCTCACCCTTAGAGTCGTGATCAGCGCAAGGAACAGCTCCTGCCCCGGGAAGCATCGGGGAGAGCAAAAACTGACCTTCACCCACCCCCGTGCTCTCCCACTCCTGCCTCTGCGGAAACTTCCCTTCCCGACGAGCCAGCTAGAAACTTTCCTGCCGGTGCCCGGGGGCTGGGACGGGACGGGGTGCCCTGAACTCTCCAGACAGCAGGTTCCAGGGGTTACCTTTAGGCTTCAACTCCCGGACGAGAGGAGGGAAACGGTTTCATCCGGAAATCCTAATATTTGCTGTAATAAAGGGAAAAAAGCGAGGAATAGAAACAGAGAGGACCGAGAAGTCACCCTGTGCGATTCCTTATCCCCCAAACTCGCATTGGGCAGGGAGGGATGAGGGAGGCAGCGAGTGACACAGGGGCAGGCGCAGGACCTGAGCCCGAGTCCCTGCCTGCCCCGGCAGAAGGCACTGCTGTTTAGGAAGAGGTGGGTCAAGAAAGCCTTTCAGTGATCCCAGCATCTCCTCGGAGAGAAGAGGAGAGGCCACCGAGTGGCTCGGGAGCACACTCTGCCTTTGTTTCTATTCCTCACCCCATTCCCACTTAGGGGGAGTTCTGTATTTCAGGGTTCCCGAATAATGGGAACTCAGCTACCAGACGGGCAAGGGCTTGTGCCTAGGTTTGCCTCTCACTTTTTGTGACCTAGAGCTACCCTAGGACAAGCAAATCATATGCTTATTTTAAATAGAATATTTCATTCAGTACCTCAAGATTAAGGTATTCCTGTCAGATAAGCTGTCAGTCACTAACTACTTAGAAACCACATTGTGGAAGCCTGGTATCCCTGGTAAAGATGATACATATCATGTAAACCCCATCAACAAGATCAAAGTCTTCTTCTTTAATAGGATCCAATACATGTCAAACCTCATTCCAATCAAATCGTCCGTAAATGAATTCAAGATGAATATGTCATAGAATAATGTGACAGTGCAATCACATGGGGTCAGGGGTTGTTGTTTCAATGAGAGAGTCGTCAAATATTAATTCTAGAACCTCCAAATGAATAGGCATTGAGCAGGATTAGGCAGCTGCTGGTGGGGAGTTGTGTCGCTGATTTGTGTTTATGCAAGTACGTTAAACACTAAGCTGAAAAAAATATCGTCTCCTTTGAACTGAAAAAAAGACATATTTTAACTTACTTGACTTTTCCAGGGTGTTTCTGTAAAGTCGCTTTCTTTTCCTCATTACAAGGGGAGTCTTGTGCCTCATTTCCTGACTTTGTTCCTGTTTGGGAAGAGGGGTGGAAAGTTAAGAGCAAAACCATTTGTGTGTGATATGAAATGAGTAAGGCGGTATATGGTTCGGGCATCATGGATTCGAAAAGAAAAGAAAAAACGAAACAAAACACAAGAGTGAAGCAGCGAGGGTGGGGGGAAGGCAAGCTTTCTCCGAGGGGAAACTGGAGGCTGTCTCCTCAGCAAAGCAGCACATGTTTTATGGAGTCATGAAGTTTCCATGGCTGATTTAGGGAAAAAAAAATATGAAAGGACATCTTTTCAGTTCTCCTTTGATCTGACATTCACCTTCTGGCAGGCTATTGTAAGGCAGGTTTTTACCAACTCGACTATATTGTTTACAGATCCTTCCCTCCCGAAATTAAATTTCGGACTCTCTGCGAGCCTCCAACGCAAGTTGTTGTCTCAGCAAGGATTAGTATAGTACCACCCTGGCACTTCCCCCTGCCTATAATTTCCAGCTTGCTCTTTGCACTCTGCAAGGCAGAGCACTGCCACCACTGCAGGCAGAACTTTGCACATCTTTCTTTGAGCGGCAGCAATAACCCTGAGAGCAGGTCTGGGCTTTGATGCAGTGTCCGAGTCTGAATTTTTGCAGATATCTGTGACATTCTCAGGTTGGGTTTTTTTTTAGCTTTTTTTTTTTCCCCCTCCCCAATACAGAAAAGCACACTAGAATCTGGAATCTCAGGTTGGGGGTTTTTTTAGCTTTTTTTTTTCCCCCCTCCCCAATACAGAAAAGCACTCCAGAATCTGGAATCAGTTACCTCAAAGGAGATTATTATTATTATTATTGCTTTTGCTACTATTATTATAGGGACTCCAGGGCTGGTAAACAAAAATCTATACTAACACACGTAATTGATGATATTAATTATGAAACTTCATCAGCGTATCACAGCCATACTCTATCAGAAAAAATTTGATGTCCTCAATATTTTCACCGCTGTGATGAAAATTACTGCCGAAATAAAAAGAACTAGAGGAAACCCTCAAGAATTATATTTTCTAGTCAACTTCCATTCATCCTCACACTTTTATCAAGTCAGAGCAGCAAACACTGCCCCGCTAGCGAGAGGTTTGCAGGAGTTGTGCTTTATTGGTTAGGATGGGAGGCTGGAGGAGTGCTCAGTTCCCAAGCGTTCGCCAAAACTTGTTGAAACTGGACAAAAAAAAAAAAAAAAAAAACAAACCCCAAAAACACCACGCTGCATTTAATATTTCAAATGGTTACCAGATGACAAAAAACGAAGGCAAAACAGTTGTGGATTTCAGAGTAAATATTGGCTAAAACGCTGGCTCGACCTCGCACGCCTTTCTCATCTACGCAGTGCCACTGGCGGAGCAGGAGGGCGAGGATGCCCCGTTGCCCGAGCTGGTCGGATCTCGGCCGGGCCGAGCCCCGTGGCTCCGGGGCTGGGTACCAGTGGGTGTCCCCCCCCCGGTCCCACCCCGGGGCTTGGGGGTGCGAGGGGCTGCAGCCCGCGCAGGCGGGACCCGGCCCCCCCTTCCCCAAACGCTCACGTCTACACCCGGCCAAAGGTGCGCCGGCGGAGCGGGGCTGGGAGCAGCCCCCGCCCCCCGCGGGAGCCCGGCGGCCCCGGGTCGGTT